AAAAAAAGTGATTTTGAAAATAAAAAATAAAAATTTTCAACCAAACATGTTTTTGGAGGCAAACTAAATAGACTATAATTTTTACAAAAAAAAACTAGGTCTCAGAATTTTGCACCCTAAATTTATTCACAAATGGATATATGTGGTGGAGATTCAATTCAATTCATACTTCACTATAGATCATGTATGAAGAAAAATATCATGGAGATTTTTTTTTTAAGATCTTTGATATTAAGATTTTATAGCATAAAGGACACTCAATATTTTCGTAATGTCTAAGGTCCCTCAACATCGATTTAGAGAAAATTCGATTTAGAGAATTTCTCTGAACAAATCACTGAGAAAATTCCAAAGTTCCCTGGACATATCATAGAGAAAATTCCAATTCCAAATTTCTCCGGGCACATCATAGAGACAATTTTGCACATCATCGACACCAAATTTCTCTGGACACATCACAGAGAAAATTTTACACATCACCCACACGAAATTTCTCTAGACACATCATAGAGAAATTTTATACATCTCCAACACCAAATTTCTCTGAACACATCACAAAGAAAATTTTACACATCACCAACACCAAGAGAAAATTAAAATTTCTCTGAGTTCAAACTAGAGAATTTTTTTCCTTTTCCTTTTCTTATTTGAACTTCTGTTTATTAACAATATTATTGGTGTTGACCATTACTCCATATCCAGTTTATGCAACCATTTATGTATAAACTAATATTTCTACAAAACCCTTTACAATGACATTAGAATTAAACATTCACAAAAATACAAGGACCAACCAACATTCCAATCCTTAGTGAGCATTTTGTGTTGTATGATTTTCCTACTTGGCTAGATCTGCATAAATTTGGCCGCCTTGATCTCGCACGTCTCTAAACGTTGAAAGAAATGAATTGAACCCTTCAGATGAAGCCCCGCCCAAGATCCACAGGAGCAAGTTACTAAACGAATTCATGGTCCCAGCTTTGTTCACAAATTTTTTTTGCTTTGTTCACATTTGTAGATGTACGTCTTGACCAGACAGATGTTGTGTTTTCTTGGTGGGATTGTCTTTCACTTTTGTCTATAACGATTGTTGCTTCTGCTTCTACTTCGTGTATTGGATTGAATTTCTCTGGTTTGGACCAGAGAAATTCTCTGGTTTGAACTGAATTTTCTCTAGTTTGGTCTAGAGACATTCTTTGGTTTGGATTGAAATTTCTCTGGATTTATTTGAGAGACCTTAGACATTCTTTCATTAGCATTTCATCAAACACCTTATTTGCTAAATCCATGTCCCCAGCTCTCGAATACATCTTTTTATGTGGATTTTCTTCATTAAATGTTGTATGAAGATTTTAAGACTTAGTTTGTTAAGATCAACAATAAAGACAATAAAGAAGAAACAAGAAAAAAGTAAGAGAAGCAATGATGAATATTTTCCAGTTGTGCTTGTGGATATGTAACTGATGCATTTTGTTTCTGCTTTCATATCTGCTATAATGCTTTATAAATCTTACTATTGAGCATCTCCAACCCACTAGGTATATCATGCTTATTAGTCAAAATGCGTAGTATAACTCATTTTTTTTCAACTCCAGTGCACTAGGCATATGATTAGACATTTTAGCTCAACTCACATTCACTAGCTACATGCAACTAGCCTTCAAGATTAGGCAAAATGTATTTAATCATTAGGATCATTTTCCTCCATCTTTGTTACTGATGTGGCATTTTATAAAATTAATAGTATTTAGATGAATAACTAAAATAAAGAGCATGGTTGGAGTAGAAACATGAAATAGTTGATAGGCAAAATAAAATATATACTTTATAGTAATGTTTAGATAGGTAAAATGCCTATTACCGTTGGCAATGAAGAAGAAACAAGAAAAAAGTAAGAGAAGCAATGATGAATATTTTCCAGTTGTGCTTGTGGATATGTAACTGATGCATTTTGTTTTTGCTTTCATATCTGCTATAATGCTTTATAAATCTTACTATTGAGCATCTCCAACCCACTAGGTATATCATGCTTATTAGTCAAAATGCGTAGTATAACTCATTTTTTTTCAACTCCAGTGCACTAGGCATATGATTAGACATTTTAGCTCAACTCACATTCACTAGCTACATGCAACTAGCCTTCAAGATTAGGCAAAATGTATTTAATCATTAGGATCATTTCCCTCCATCTTTGTTACTGATGTGACATTTTATAAAATTAATAGTATTTAGATGAATAGCTAAAATAAAGAGCATGGTTAGAGTAGAAACATAAAATAGTTGATGGGCAAAATAAAATATATACTTTATAGTAATGTTTAGATAGGTAAAATGCCTATTACCGTTGGAGATGCTCAACATTTGTCCTCCAAGGATAGTGATATTTGTTGACGGAGGAATCTTCATCGGAGGACTAGTGATCGGAGGAACAACAATGAGGACTAGCGCTCTGCTTTATATAAATCTTGCTGTATAAAGCACTATTAGGAATCTTCATATAAATCGACAATCTCCATCGGTAAAGCTTTATAAATCTTGCTAGTGCGAATTCCTTCATCATAGTCAATGCCAATGAAGCTTTGAACAATGCTGTGGACGAAGAGGAGAGAGAGAGAGAGAGAGAGAGGAGTTGTTTGGTGTAAGAAGAGAGATGAGAGAGAATGAAAAAGTGGGTGTTATATATGGGTATGGGTGAGGGACCTTAGACTACAAAAAAATTTATTGCGGACCTCTCCCATTACTAAAAATTGAAGAGGGATGTTAAACTAATTTTTTCCATAAATAATCTACATAGCTAATGTATTTATCGTTTATGATTATTTTTATTTTAAAAAAGCCTGGCTAGGCCCAGCCCAAGTCCTAGGCCCTATTATGAGTGGGCTTGGGCTTGGGCCTGAGCCGCACTTTTTGGTCCATGGCCCAGCCTGGCCTGCTAAAAAAAATATGTTGTAATCGTTTTTATTTTATTTTAATAAAATATATGAAAACTTTGAATATAAAATTTTAATTTTTATGAAATTAATATCATTGAAAATATGTCAAACATACCTTTAAAATAAGACTAATATTAAATATAATTTAATAAAAAATTTAAATAAATAAAAAGTAATTACTATGTTTAGTTATGTTTTTAAATTATTATTTTTAAAATAAAAAAATAATTTGATGAAAATAAACACACAAAAATTATGTATTTTTGAAATTATCAAAAAAATCTTCATTATAAAAAAAATCATATAAAAATAATGACTTTTAATTTAATTTTATTAGAGACGAGTTTATAATTTTTTTTAAAAAGAAATACAAAAATAAAAGAAACTAAATGTGCCTAAAAATTGTAAATAATTTATATATTTTTAAATTAAAAATAATTTAAGTGATATACTAAAAATTACAAAAAAAAAAAAATAATTTTTTTAAAAATATCACTATAGATTAGACTTGCACCATGCTAGTTTAAACTTGTACTACACACAGATTTGATTTACACCTATGTATAGATTGAATTTGTGTATTTTTTATTTCCTTTTATAAAAATTATGAACTCGTTTGGTTAATAAAACTAAATTAAAATTTGTTATTTTCATATGATTTTTTTTTGGAATGAAAATTATTTTTGAGAATTTAAAAAATATATAACTTTTGTGTATTTGTTTTTATCAAAATAGTTTTTATATTTAAAAAATAATAATTTGGAAACCAAACTAAACATATTTTTATTTATTTTAAATTGTTATTAAATATATTTAATATTAGTCTCATTTTACAGGTGTGTGAGTGATTTTCTGACCACATTGCCCGCTTAGTAACTAGCTGGAGAGCACCGGCAGAATAGATGGCACCTGGCTGACCTGTAACAGAAAGAGAAGGCTCCGGCGGTGGCTCTTCCATCCGGTTTTTATTTTTTATTAGAAATGTGAGAGATTGAGTGCATGTGAGAGCGAGGGACGAAGAGAAAAAGCGTGAAGCTATAGCTTCATTTGGTTTTTATTTTTGGGTTTTTTTTTAAATTTTTGTGAGAGAAAAAGTATAATGATTTTGATTTGGATGTGATATTTTGTGAGTGTTTGGAAAGTTATTATTTTAGTAGATTATTTTAATTTTTGACTATTTTAGTAGGTTAAAATTTTTATATTTGGGAAGATAATTGAATTTTTTTATAGTTAGATATGATATTTGTGAGAGAAAAAATAAAATGATTATGAGTTTCATGTGATATTTTATCTTATTAACTATTTTAGCCTATTTATCATTTTATAAATTTTAATCAAAAAAATAAAAAAAAACTCTTGCCAAATACCCCTTTATCTTATTGCCTTATATAATTTATTTTATTTTTTTTAGCCCTCAAATATTTACCAAACGAGGACTGAGTGTGTTGGAGAAAGGCCTTGTTTGGTGTAGTTATTAAAACAGATTATAGATTATAACTTACAGATTATAAATTATGACTTTAATAAGAAGCTATTAATCTGTTTAGTGTAACTGTTGGATTATAGATTTAAGTTGCTGAGTAGTATTTGTTAAATAAGCTGTGAAGTAGTTTTTTTTATTTTTTATTATTCATTACCTGTCTATATTTCTCATAAAAAATAATAATAATATTCTATAGTCCATTTGGGTCATTTTTTATTTTTTAAAAAATATAAAATAAAAAAATCTAAGAGTATAACAATAAATTATCATGTCCACAGCAGGAGTTGACAATAAAAAACAAAGGGTGATCAGCTTTTCAGAATTAATTTTTTTGACTTAAAACAAATTGCTAAAATCATAAACTGTTTGAAATAAATTTAACCAAACAGTCCAAAATAACTTTTCAAAAACTAAAAATCATAAATTGACTAAAAAAAAACCAAACAAATACGCCCAAAAGTGAGTAGTATTCAGTGTGAATGTTTTGAATATTATTTTTTAAATGAACAAATCTAAATCATTCATCTCTCTGAGGATGACCTGGCTCAATCTAAACCGTTTCCCGTAGTAGTATTCAATAAGGTCCCATTTGTTTTTAATTTTATCCACTCCCCACTTTCCCGTTTCTTCCAAATCCGGTCGCCAATTCTCTCTCTCTCTCAATGTCGACCGCGAACCCAAAATTTCAGTTTGGTTTGTTGGCTCTCTGCGTTCGCTGTTCTTATAGATCAATTAGAAATGAAAAGAAAACCCTAACTTTCATTCCCTTCAATTCCATCTCACTCCAACAGTACATATACATATACATGTCCCAGTCTTCTTTGTGAATTCCAGATCTGTACATATTGAAGTTTGCTTTTTCGAAAGGTGGTTCGTGCTCATACCTTTGGATCTCGAATAACTGTTCTTGTTTATTCAGATTTTTCAGCGTCAATTTGGAATCAGGGGTACGTAAAAGGTATGTTGAATCGATTTCCGTGTCTTTTCTCCGCCAATTCGAGTTCGAAAAGGTTTGGATGGTAGTTGATTGGTTTGAATTGGTTGTTTCCTTGTGTTATACGTTGGCTTGTGTCTGGGCTAGGGTTTTGTTGCTTGAATGATATAGAGGGTGCCACTTAATTGTAAATTTGTTACAGCTTCACATTCAGGCTAGTTCAAATCCTAATCCAATCAGTGTGTGTGTGTGTGGGTGCAATTTCAATCATATTTGGATTAGGGTTTTGTTTCTTAGTTCGATTCGGCAATTTGAATGCTGTTGTGGAGGAGTCTGAAGTCTGGAACTGCTGATAGCTTGTGGATTTGAAAAAAAATAAAGGTGGTGTGTTTGGATGGGGGAAGGTGAAGGTGAAGGGGAAGTCTTTGTGGCAGTGTTAGATGATGGAGGAATGGAAAATGAGAATTCATCGAGAATTGAATCGAAGCGTGATCATGAATGGTTAGGGGACGATACTGAAGTTGAGCGTTGCACAAAGAAGCAGGCAAAGGAAGCTTCAAGTGATACTGAATTGGAGTCTTGTGCTAACAAGTATGAATTGGAGTCTAGTTGCACAAAGAAGCAGGCAAAGGATGCTTTAAGTGATACTGAATTGGAGTCTTGCGCTAACAAGCATGAATTGGAGTCTAGTTGCACGAAGAAGCAGGCAAAGGATTCTTTAAGTGATACTGAATTGGAGTCTGCTAACAAGCAGGTTAAGGAAACTTCAAATGATGAAATATTCTCAGAAGTTTCAAACCCAAATTTGTCTCCAAGAGATAATGCCTGCAGCATTCAGACTATTAGTAGTCAACTGGCCGAGTTGGTGAGCAATAACCAAGTTGCTTCTAGTGAGAATTCGTCCACTTGTTCTGGGAATTCAAGTTCCAAGGAGAGCCTGAATGAAGAAGAGGAGAGTAAAAATGATACATCTGGAGCAGTGTCTACGTCCCTTTTTGTACGCGAGATTCCAAAAGATTTCAGCTCCACTGGTATCAGGAAAATTACCTTCAAATTCAGCAAGCGTAAGGAGGACTATGATAATCAGTTATCTGCAACAGCAGTGGGATCTGGGTCTGATGGAATTTCCCAGTGGAATCATTCAGCATCAGATGATATGAATACAGAAATAAGTTCATATGGGAAGGTTGTTGATGAGCAGCAAGGTTTTTTTATGTCAGCCTAATATGGAACTGAAAATGTCTAAGAAGGTTCTGCCAGACAGTTATCCCACAACTGTTAAAAAGCTTTTATCTACTGGGATTTTAGAAGGGGCTCGGGTGAAGTACGTTACTGCTTCACAGGAGGTATGTTGTAGTTCCATTTTTATTTTGGTAAAATTTCACTCAATCTTTAAAATATGTGGAACTCTTATTCTGTTTCAAATGATTGTAGAGAGAGCTTCCTGGAATCATAAAAGGCTGTGGATATTTGTGTGGCTGCTCATTATGCAATTTCTCCAAAGTAGGTTGTTTTATCGCAAAATTATTATTATTATTTTTTTTGTGGTCATTTGGCTGTTTTTTGCATTTAATTTTGTTTATCATACAATTGGATGGAATAAGCAGATACTCAGTGCCTATGAGTTTGAGTTGCATGCTGGTGGCAAAACTAGACACCCGAGCAACCACATATACTTGGAGAATGGGAAGCCAATATATAGTGTAATCCAAGAACTCAAGACTGCACCACATAGTGTACTAGATGAAGTGGTAAAGAACGTTGCCGGTTCATCTGTCAATGAAGAGTCTTTCCAGGCTTGGAAAGGTGATGCAGATTCCAAGCTTTTAATTTACTTTTTAGTGCCTTAGGCATAAGCTGTTCATTTCGCAAAAGCTCTTCTTTTTAGTTATTGAATTGATTTTGAAATTCACTTTTACCCGCAGAAAGTCTCCAAGAAAACAGTCATATGGTTAAAACTGAGAAGAGACGTCACATCAGTGTTCCTGGGATGCATCATGCTACCACAAGGTACATAAAATATTTTCTTTTGGGAATTATCTCATTAATATATTTTATATTTGGTTTTGAATGTTTGGTCCCCTGTATTTGGGAATTTAAGGTTAGGCCTTTTGTGCTGGTAGAGTTCTTTTCAGATTTTCAAAATACTTGTTTAACATGTAAAAGTTCATTTCGAGCTTACAAATTTATTATCCAATATGATGTGTTGTGTACATAATAAAGCTGTTTGGTGCTGTGCAAATAATAACAGGAAGGTGAAACTTGAGTACATGTGTGTCATCATATACTGCTAGAAGACTCATGCTGTATATACATGTCATATATTTTGCAAGTATAAAAGTGTACGATGTTCTTTTTGACAGTACGTTGCCATTCTACTAATGCATGGTTGTGGTGATCTTAATGGTGTTAGAGATTATGGTTTGTGGCCATAATCGCTTAAGAGATCCACCAAGTAGCAGGTTTCTGTCAGTTTAGGATTTTATGAAGCATAGTTTTTTGAAGGCTCCTTATAGTTTATTTATTTATTTTGATTTTGATTTTTCATACTTTGTGTGGTCAAAGAATTGTTAGGTTATTATTTCAGCGGCCAACAACATCACTAAACTGAAGCTTTTGGCTGCAGTGGTCAAATGATAGAAGACAGCCTTTGCCCTACTTTGTCTTCCTATGTTCAGAACAACGATTTTAAACAGCAAAACTGCATGAAGGAGGCTCTAGAGGGGAAGAAAAAGGGGTGGCTAAGAAGTTCGTTCTCTCTCAATTTGTTTTTTCTTATCTATATTAGTTAATTCATATTTCTGAAGCAGTCAAGATTCTTTTTCATAGAATTGATTACTAAAATGAAATTCATCATTCTCTCTGTCACTGATTTTGCAATCTTTTGTGCAGGCCAAGCTTCTACCATTCTAGTTCAGTTGTGAAACAGAAAAAAAACTGCGGAAGGTCGTACCAAGAAAAGGTAAAACTTATTCTCTTTATTCTCCTTCTCCCTGGTCAAGTGTCTCAGTTTTCTTGGTACTTATATAGAAGTCTGCTTCTAATTCTGGGATTTTTTGGGCTTGGCTTGAAGTCTTATGCTTATTGAAATTTTGCACATTGATTACAGGGATAATGATCTGCATCGATTACTTTTCATGCCTAACGGACTTTTAGATGGTGCTGAATTGGCTTACTATTCCAAAGGACAGGTGGTTTTTTCGATGCACTCTCTTCTTTTGCTGATGTGTTTATATTCTTCTCAATTTCTTCATTTTATATTTTATTTTTATTGCAGAGAATACTTGGGGGCTACAAACAAGGAAATGGAATAGTTTGTAGTGGTTGTCACACCGAGGTAAATTGTTGGCACAACACTTATTTAATAAAGTGCTAGGATCCCCTTCTCTTCGCCCCCCTTCCCCCAAACATTTATAGGTCTCAGTTATGAGATTATTTTCCTTTGTGAGCAGATTAGTCCTTCGCAGTTTGAGGCTCATGCTGGATGGTCTGCTAGACACCAACCGTGAGTAGCCTTAAAAAAAACTTATCATTGGTTCGGTGATTGTGAGTATGCTATGCTGAATTAATATTTTCCATTGTTTACTCCAGCTACCGGAACATCTATACTTGTAGTGGACTGACGCTTCACAATATAGCTCTGTCATTGGCTAATGGACAAAGTCTGGCTACTGGAAGCAGTGATGATATGTGTGCAGCATGTGTAGCTGGAGGGGATCTGATTATTTGTGATGGATGCCCTCGGGCTTTTCATGCAGGTGGGTATTTCCCTTGAATGTACTCTCTCTGTTCTTCTTGTGATTGATGTTCATATTGTGTGGTTCTCATCTCTACGTTATACAACAGACATTTAATTTATTTCTTATTTGGTGTTCTAAGAATTACATTCCACCATTGAAGTGACTACTATACACTAAAAGTAGAATAAGATAACCTATGTAGATACTAGAACAGTTGATAAAAAAAACTGTAGTGTAGATATGTCATGGTTTGGTTGTGTGTTCATTGTCATTCATTAAGGGATACATTTTCTCAATTCATGTCAACTTTTTAAGCTTGTATTTTTTTGGTTTCATTTTGTCTAATGGCCCCATTTGGTAACACTTATGAGTCAGCTTTTTTAGCTTATTTGCTTAAAAAAAGTTGACTAATGTTGTTTGGTTGCAATTTTAAATTGTAACTTATTTGATTTTTTCAGCTTATTTGACAAAAAAAAGTGAGATTTTCTTAAGTTAAAATTTGTAGTTTTTTTTTTTTAAAAAATAATTTTCAAAACCATTAAATATGTATGGACAAAAGAGCCTCATATCTTTTGCTTTTACTGGTATAAAAAGACTTTTGAGGGCATTTGGGATATTTGCACAATAAAAAAACTATGTGACAACTTATTTAGCCACACCACGCTCAACTTTTTTCACATATTATCAAAATCTGCACCAAACAAAATTACAACTTGTTTTAATTATTTTGAGCTAATAATTTGAAAACTATAAACATAAAAGCTAACTCTTATGAGTAATACCAAGCTTGCCCAATGTGCTTTTTAGGGAATCATATAATGGTGGTGAAAGTGAAGCACAATTTGTTAAAAGCGGTCTTGAAGTATTTATAAATGACTTGCTTCTTCTTGGTTGTGTTATTGATCGGTTATTTTAATACTCAATTGAAGTATTGCAAGGCAAGACCAATTTACAACCTTTACATTACAATTTGAAAGCGTTAAATGACAAGCCCTACACTAAAATAAGGTAGTATATTTAAGCGTATCTAACTTATGTTTAACCAAATATACATTTTCATTGTTTTTCTTCTGTTATATAAATACTTATCAATTATTTTTTACTCTTCCCTTTTCCCACTCTCTCTTGTGGCTTCTTTCAGTTTGTTTGGATTTACAGTGTGCACCTAAAGGTGACTGGCATTGCCCATATTGTAGAGATAAATTTGGTTTTGGACGAAAATCTGCTGGAGAGTCCTCAAATACGGGAAGACATATTATAATTCAGTTGACACGAGTTGTTAAAGCCCCATAAATTGAAATAGGTGGTTGCGTTGTTTGCAGGTTGGTTTAGTGTAGTCATTCAATAAAATTTTGGTTAAAGTTCTCTTATAATGAAGAAATTAATTACTTCTTCTATGGATTTTATACATTGCTGTAATCCTGAGAACCCAAATAGCAGTTTTGTGTATGATGGGCTCTTTCAAGAGTGTTGATCAAAAGGTCACAATCTTATATTTTCCTTGAGGTTCATTGATTTGTTAAATATATACACATTTAATTATTAGTATAGTTCCATGTTTATCAGGGTCAGTTTGCTGTGTCAGTGTTGTCTGAATGGGTTTTTATCTCATGTTAGCTCCTTTTAATTGTTATCTCTTCATTTAGAGTCTCATTTATGGTTTTGAACTCACAAGAAGTTTGGGTTGGTGCAGGCCAGCTATTTTTTTAAAAAAAAAATATTTTCTCCATTCATATTCTGTCATTTGGTATGCACTTACTTTGTTTTCGACAGTTTCTTCACTTGTGTACCGCTGCTAGAAGGACTAACTTATTGGTTTCAAAGTCGCAAACTATGACAAGAACTTTTAATTCTTGAATATTTGTCATTTTGGCTATTCCGAGAATGAAGGAATAATAGTAAAAGTGAAACTGGCCGCAGTAGAATCGATGGTAATGATTAGAAATTTAGAAACCAATAGTTTCATTTAACCCAAAGGTTGAACATGGCTTTACTCAGAAGGCCATGTAGAATCGATGGTAATGATTAGAAATTTAGAAACCAATAGTTTCATTTAACCCAAAGGTTGAACATGGCTTCCCTCATAAGGCCATTTTAGGTTTTGAAGGCCAGGAGCTCTTTTGCTTTTAACTTGCAGTTTAACAGAAAGTACAAAAAAATTATACCAATATAGAAATTTCATGCTATACACAACATCAAATTGTGTCACTTACAAAATTATTCACTATTATTTCATTAACCCATATGCTTATTTATTCCCTCCAGAAAATTAATTATCCCAATTCTCGCCATCTATGCCCTTTCAATAAGTCATGTCCACTTCTTTGTTGTTAGTAAGACTGATTTTCTTTGTTATCTTTACAGGGCTCACGATTTTGGTGTTGAAAATTTTGATGAACGAACAGTTATGCTTTGTGACCAAGTAGGGCTTGTATTTTCCCTTATATATTTTACCATATGTGTGTTCTTTTTAATTATCTAAATCTGACTGTTTATTGCTGTTTAGTGTGAGAATGTTGGCTGCTTGCGTGACAGTGGCCTCTGTGATTTAAAAGTAAGTTTCAGAATCTTTGTAATGCTTTCGACATGTATTTATTCAGCGACTCAGTATAGTTTCTCACATTTGGTGCAGGAACTGCCCAGGGATAAGTGATTTTGTTGTGATGACTGCAATAGGATCCATGTGGCACTACAAAATTTAGTTTTGGTTGGTGCGGAGATGATTCCAGCTTCAGTGTCATATGCAATACACAGAAAACATGTTGAGAAAGGATTTACAGATGGAGTTTCAAATGATGTTCAATGGCAGATTTTAAGTGGGAGAAGTCGCTATCCAGAACATTTGCCAGTACTGTCTAGGGCTGCTGCAATTTTTCGAGTAAGTTTTTGCTGATACCATGTAGAATAGCAAAACGTGATTTTTAAAATTTGTAAAAGCCTGTCTAATTTTGTTCTTATCTATTCTAGTGCTACTTCTCTTTAGCAACATAATGTAACATGATGTGCTAGAAGAAACAGATCTGGGGGCCAGGACCTCTTCGGGGCAGTTGGTTAATATTGATTCTCTATGCTATATCTTAAATTTATCTTTGTCCAAAAATGGTTTTGATTTTGACTTCTTTTTTCTTTTGCTGTATAGTCCTTCTGACAGCAGTTGTATAAAGATACTCCTTTTTGTTATGTTATACTTTCTTTTATTACTTAATTTTATTAGGGGGTTAAACCTATTTGTATGTCTCATCTTTGGCAGGAATGTTTTGATCCTATTGTTGCAACTTCTGGTCGTGATCTTGTACCTGTTATGGTCTGTGGGTAAGTTATCATTGTACATTGTGCTTAAGTAGCTCTTCATCTGAAGGGTGTATCTACCAAAACTTATGCCATACGGAAGAAAGTTAAGTGCTTTGTGAGGAAAATTTCATCATTTCCCTCTATTAATGAATTGGTGTGAAATGAAGTTATTTTGTAGGTTGTCAACAAATACTTGTGACTACATTAATCAAGTATACATTATTAAAAAGAATGCATTTTAGAGGAGGAAAATATGAATTTTGCTCACAAACAAACCTCTATTTTATGTCCTAGAATTGTTCAACTCACATTATGTGCTTTTCAAAGATTGACCATAAGGTTCAATTAGGAGAAAAGGATTGGTTTTATTTAATGAAATTTGAGAACAGAAAAATAAGGAGAAAAAGGGCGCTATGTAAGTAGATTGTTTGCTTCACTAGTTAAATTTCCCTAACTTCTTATTGATCTTTATGTTTTTGGTTAATCTACCAAACCTGTTTAAAATGCCCTTTGTTGTACTTAATGCAAGAGAAATATATCTGGGCAAGAATTTGGTGGAATGTACTGTGTCGTTTTAATCGTAAAGTAAGCTGCTTCACATTAAAGTTGTTTCTGCATGTTT